ATACGCACAGACAAGCCGGCAACCACATCCCAAGAACTTCCTGGGCTGCTATCCAGACCTCTCTGCCGCAGTTCTCTGAAAGCCACAGTGGTGCTTGGTTTTGGTTTAACCAGCTTTTCAAACTTTACATTAAAGAGGTTTAGAAACCTTTGTTCAGATGGGAGAAGAACAGAGGCAGCACCTTTCAATACACGTTTTTTGGAATCTATCAGATTGGAAGGCAGGCAACTACTTTGTTTGCAGGATCAATCATTTGGGGGAAACACAAAGAAGGGGGCTCTGGAAGGGGTTTGCTGTGATATTCTCAGGGAAGCCTCAATCTCGGCCAAGGCCTAGAGCCTTGGCCATCTGCACCTAGGACTAGGATCCGGTGTCACTGAACTCCACAATCAGGCCATTCTCCTAGCAAGGAGGGAGAGCTGCACAGAGCCAAGAGAAGCAGAGGTGCTGCTGTTGGCTTTGGAGTAAGAATTAGCTACTCATTCCAGCAACGCTGTCCCAGCGTGCCTCCTCATGTGTACGATGGGTACAATGCCTTCTTCCTCACCTGCTGATGGCAAAATCTCAAGTCAACGCCCACGGATGTGAAAGCATCTATGGCTCACTCGTTTTATTAAGTGTAGGGAGCAGAGCAGTTTCCACAGGGGTCCTCGGGAGGGAAGCGGGCCAAGGCCAGCTATTCTAACCAAGGGGTGCCCAGGGCTGCTGGGGAGGACACTGCTCCCTCACTCCTTCTATAGCTGTGGGAAGGAGGAGCTTCCATTTCCTACCCTAGGAGAGAAATCCACGGCGGGAATCCTTGGCTTGGCCAGGCACCCTCTTGTTCAATCCTGCCCAGAGGAGGAGGAGGAATGCCCTCCGGGGGAGTCTGGGAGAAGGAACTAAGCTGCATCACCCCTTCCAGCTCTCTCCTGGGGAGCAGCCAGCGCAAGGCCCTCCCGCAGCTCCTCCTCGCTAGGAGTTTACGGGCAGCTCCATGCTGGAGACACCTGCCATTGTCCACTTACTCCAAGTGGAGGAACGCAGTCTTCACATTCTCAGGTGAAGTGTTTGCAACATTTGCCCTCAGGTCTAATGCAATATTCTCCTTTCAGGCTTATCAATAAACACTTTTATCTCATTTGACTGTCCCCTGGGCTTTGTTTCCCAAAAGATACTAAACTTGAGAAGGGGAAACACAGTAATTTAAAGCCTCTCTAAACTGCAACATCCTCCAAGGCAGGGATAGGCATTCTCAAGTTGGTGCTTTTGAATTCTAAAAGAAACTACATGATCAGGAGGCAGAGGCTAACTAAAAACCTATTTACTTTGCTCTGACAAGCTGAGTGGCCTAACATGTCTGCTTTAGAAAACAAATGAATTATTAGCAAGTTCGGTTTGTTGACAAAATATCTTTTTTTTTTTTTTTTTTTTGAGACAGGGTCTCGCTCTGTCACCCAGGCTGGAGTGCAGTGGTACGATCTTGGCTCTCTACAACCTCCACCTCTGGGGTTCAAGCATGCCTCAGCCTTCCGAGCAGCTGGGATTACAGGTGCCCGCCATGACACCCAGCTAATTTTTATATTTTTAGTAGAGACGGGGTTTCACCATGTTGATCAGGCTATTGACAAAATATTTTTTAATTATAGTGTCCAAGTTGGGACTATGAGGTGGACTATGACTGATTATGAAGTGACTATGACTATGAAGTGGGCCTGGAGATGAAGAGGGAGCCTCTGTGGGGCCCTGGGAGTGCTTGGAGCCTACTTCCCTCATTGTCTTTATCGCTCCAATTGGGCCTGCCCATCTGCTGGTCTGTCTCATCAATATGCCCCACAATGGTGGGGACTGAGAACGTATTCATCTTACACATGGCATCTTACACATGGTAGGTCTCCATAGACAGGTGAATAGATGCATACTTAAATGGAGGAATGATCACAGCCTGGAAGGAGGAACGCTGCACTGAGAGGAGGGCAAGGCAGCACCTTCTCTTCCCTGGTAGTAGCAGCTCTTGCCTCAACACTAAGCTCCCCTCTTGCCAGCCCCCGCTGCAGAGCTGTTGTCAGAGGTCTCTGTGGAGCTGCCCTGGCTAGCTGCACAGGCACCGGCTTTGCCGGGTGGAGAGATGAAGGCAACAGTCTCGACGGTTTCCATCCCCACTGGAAAGCTAAGTGTTCTTAAAGAATGAAATCCACAGAAACACAGACCCAAGGCAAGGATATTTTTTGAGGTTAAAATAGGTGCTCTCTCTGGCTGGTTAAGATTATTTTGCCAGGGCGGGGTACAGCAGCTTTAATAGACATATCACATGCAGTCCCTGCTTGGTTTGAGAGCTGGTGTGGGCTCGAGCTGAGGTGTCTGGGCCTGGGTTTCCAAGCTGGTGTAGTGGCCCTGGGCAGGTTCTTTCATGTCTATGAGCTCCAGCTCTGGGTCAATAAAATACGGCTAATGGTCCCTTCCTCAAAGGGATATGGTGGAGACAACAAAAAAGATACCGAGGAGTCTGTTGGTTTCCAAAACGAGAATATATACCATTAGGATTATGTGAGTGCATTAGGTGATCCATAGAGAAACACTTCAAATTGTTTTATATGTTAGAAAAAACTTGTACTAGTATATTAAGCCTATAATTCCACCAATGGCATCTCTGAAGATGAGGCTAAGATGCTATAGATGTCAGGTCTGAGTCTTGTTTAAATAAAACTATCAAGTAAAACAAATAGTATAGATGATAAGAGAGCGTGGTAAAAACTTTTGAAATGAAACTCAAGAGACTGTTCTTTGGGAAGAATATCGAGTCCTTAAAACTCATTCCTGCCGGCAGTAGGTGCTCTAGAAACGGTACTTGTTACGGTCAACAGCCCATCAAACCAGGGACCCGGGAAAAGACTCAAGGACAACGTACCATGAGGGCAAAGCTGGAAAGAGTTAAAAGAAAGGGGTCTGTGGTTTCCCTGGCTCAACCCCCCTCCCCCTGCAGCTAATCTGTCACCTAATGAAGAAGGGGCCGGCACAAGTGAGCTAGCTGGCAGTTCACTTACAGCAAACTGATTAAGAATGTTCAACCAACAGCAGACTGTAGACCTTTCCAGAGAAAATAAATAGAGTGTAGACTGTATGCAAATGTGTTTGTCACTTTGACAGCACGTCTCAATTAAGGCATCTCGCGGCTGTGGGTAGGCTCTGCGGCTGCAGCTGGAAGGGAGAGTCTGCTGCATGGCTGATACTAGGGGCTTGACCTTAATCCGCATGCATGCATTAAAAAAAAAAAAAATCCTGCCTTCCTGTACACTTGCATAATGCTGGCAGCCACGTGAGGGAAGTGACAAACGGGGAAAAAAAGCCACTTTCATCCTCTCCAGTTTGCAGACCGGTGAAGGCACAGACAGCTCTTATTTCAACAGAGTTTGGGGTGGCTTTTTTCATTGTTTATCCCCACCCGTGCACACACACATACTCTTATTCTGCATTTAGCTGGGAATGACATTAAAGAATCTCTACTTCTGGCTGAAATGGAAAGAAGGTCTTTCTCCATTTCAAATAGGGCCTCCTTTTTTTGTGTTTCGAAAATGGAATGTTTAACACCATGAAATCCCTCTCCCCCGCCCCCTCTTTCTCTGTAATGGGCTCCAAACTCCAGTGAGGGGCTCCTTTCATGGGAAGGTTGGTGTGTGCAGGAATGAGGACAAAGGAAAGCAGGAAGCTGACTCTGGAATGCCACGCTGGCGACAACCAGGGGCTGCGCTTTCAGCGAACACAGCCAGGGAACTGGGGTTCGGATTTCTCCAACAGGGCCTGCGCCTGGGGCTGGGGGGAGGCAGCTCTTCAGGGGAGCAGACACCAGTGCAATTTGAAAATACTCATTAACTAAATGAGTATCACCCTGTGGATTCTTCTTCCTTGCATTTCATTTCAATTTTTATAACATCCTTTTAAGTATAAAATCAGAAAAGGGAAGAACCTCCCCAAGTTAAAGATGTATAAACATATATTATCTGAAAATATTGATTAGAGAAGAGTGACTTTTATGTTCCAACCAACTCGCCCCTTACAGTAATAACCTAGAGCAAGAATTTTCTTAGTTTCGTTCATTTCTGAATAGCTCAATGCCTGGTGCATAGTAGGCACTTGATGAAGGTCTGTTAAAAACAGGAATGTAGGCTTCTAGGTCCTTTACACGTGGTGAAATAGCAATCACATTTAAGATAAAAATCATAAAGACTCTTAATCATGCGTCATCTAATAAATGGCTACAGAATCAGGTGATTTAAAAATAAATAACCTTGCAAACTCTTGTTACAGCCATATCTTGCCAAAAGAGCCATTTCTCATAGACCTCTCCACTAACCAGAAGTCAATTCAAGAGATGTAGGAAAGGGTACACAATCTTTTTTAACCAAAAATATAATTACAAGTAGGAAGGGGATACAAAATTTTAGTTTCTATCCAGACTGCAATGTTTTACTTAAGGGAAAAAAAATAGACAATTTTTCAAATGCTCAGGTAGTTGAAAACAGTTGCTTAAAAAACTGAATCTCTAGAATTGTAGTGCGGGTGTTTACTCTCAGAAGCACGACTCCTGATATTGATTTTCAGGAAGTACATTAATAAAGAACTCCTAATTGATTTTTTTTTTTAAGACTTCGCTTGTTGCCTTTTATTTGAAGTGTGCAAAGAAGGGCCCGGGATGCTAAAGTGTTCTAATGAGATGCTTAGCTAACAGAGGCACCTTAAGCAGAGTGCCTTGGAGTAAGGGAGGCAGCAGTGCATTTAATGACTTCATTCAACAGTCCCGCTCATTTCTGACCTCAGCCGTGCTGTCTCCTCAAAATTTTTGAAAATTTGCCTGCAAAACATGTTTGCACCAAATAAACATTTAAAGATGTGAAAACCTCCATGGAGCCGCACTGCCAAAGAGAACTGAAATGAAACACCGTCTGCTGCATGTGCTACAGCTGCTGCTAAAAACGAAAATAAAAAAACCCCAAACGGACAGGTAGGAGGGCCAGGGTACACACCTGTCCGAAGTGGACTGTGATTGGCCGCCGGTCTTCTCGGAGCTTGGGGTCCTTGGCTTCCACCAGGGGGGACGGTGCAGTCTTTGGCAGCTGCTCTTCCGGGGTGGGGGCGCAGCCGTTCTCAGCAATGTCCTGCAGGGAGAAGGAGAGTCGAGGGTTGGCATTGGGGTTCCGGCACCTGTGTTCCCTCTCACCCCACAAGGAAGAGGCCTGCCACATGACTCTCTCTGTGACATTCTAAGCCTGTCCTCCTGATGAAGATGGGGGGAATGGAGGGCTAATTTGGCTCTTTGACTTTTCAGAACTAGAGAAACCCAAACCATCCATGTTAAACTATAAAGATAACATAATAATTCACAACAGTGGGGAAAACAATTATTATTGTTCATCTTATTCTCTTACGTGGCTATTTTCATTTTTATATATTCACTTTGTCCACATGCAGACATTTAAAAATTACTTGCAATCACAGCTCATGCATAATTTTATATCCTGCTTTTCCCAATGTATTACAAGCATTTTCATGTTGCTACAAAGTCATTACAAAAATAATTTTACTAATGCATATTTCACTGAGCGGATATACAATAATTTAATATAACACAATTCAGTATTCCACTACTATTGGGCATTTAGGGTTCTTTCTAATTTTTTTTAAACATTTGAAATGCCAGTGATAAATACTGCAGTTTTTCTTTCTTTCATATTATTTCTTTTTATGGAAATCCCCAGGAATGAAATTACTAGGTCAACAGATATAAACATTTTCAAGGCTTTTTATTCATTCTATCAAATTGCTTTCCAATTTACACCAACTACCAACAATGGATGCATTACCAGTTTCAGGGTATTTGTGAACTGTATCATTTAAAAAATGTATCGCTAATTTAATAGGCGAAAAATTTGACTTCATTGTTGCTTTAATTTGCATTACTTTAATTATGAGTATGGACACTTTTTCCACATTTGTTTACTGATGATGTTGCTGTTTGTGAATAAGATGTGTTTGTTCCTACCTCTTCCTACCCCTAATCTTTCTGGCAGAAAATAAAAAGACTGAAGTCTGAATCAGCACTCTATGACTTGGGAAACATTTAGGGACCAAATAAATCTTTTTAAATCCAGAAATTTACATTTAATCTGTGCTTCCGATGACTGAAGTCAAATTATCAGGAAAAGGAAAACCCCAATGTGGAAAAGGCAGGTCACGGCTCTAGTGGCTGAAGCCGGCAGCTGACTATACACATGGGTCATTTGGAGCATGGATGGGGCCACTCATGCATCAAGGGTCCCGTGTTTTACTCAAGTCAAGGAAGTTGCTTCAGTCTTCATTGGAACCAGGCGGAGAATACATGTACAAATAAATATTTAAATAATCATTTTTCTTACCAAATAAAAATAACTCAGCCAGAATTATATAATGAACACAAGTTCCAATTATTTTCATTGCAAAGCAAATACTTTGGTCAACAAAACATATCCCCTTAGTACTGATTAAATTCTGCACATGAGAAACTTGATACTTGGTGGCTCCTAACTTCTCAGCTAAGAGAGAATGGTGGGACATGGAGGAAAGTGGTCCCTTATTGAAAAATAATGCATTAAAGAAGAAACTTATATACATCTCTAAGACTCAGTTTCCTCATCTGTGAAATGGGCATATGGTAGCATGAAGATTAAAGGAGACAGATAATACAACTGAGTGTCAAGAACATTATTAGCCATTCAGTAAATTATGGAAATTATACAACCTACCCTCCACCACCAATATTTGACCTCACACATCTAGCTGCCTACCAGCTGGCCTCCTTTCCTAAGGAATCAAGGCTGCCTGTAGAGGCCAGACCTGAGGAATCTGTACTGCTTGGTAAACAACAAAGAGAGATGATGACCTCTTGGCTTTACAGGGAGGGCTTGGATCAAGAGGCCCACGTTTGATCAGCCAGTCTCAGCCAGGCTGAGGTTCAGTGATGAAAGAGGTTGTCGATGGCTAAACAGAAACAGCTCTTTTGGAAAGGAGCTGTCCAAAGGTGCTCAGGTCAAGTGGAAAAAGACAGGGAGGGGTTCCATCTGTGCTAGAAAACAACAATGGGCAAAAGGGGCATTTTGGATCCAGGTGAAGATCCTACAGGATAGATATGAGAGAGTGAATAAGGTCAAACATGAACAAATTCACTTTTGGTTCAGGTAAAATTTTGTGCATGGGTGTGTGTGCCTGTTTGTGTTTGGCTGAAAAAAAAATGAAGCTGCAAAGTAATATGGTAAGAAAATACTGGTATTAATAGAAAACTCTAAGGTAATAGCTATTTAGAAAAAAAAGAACAATTCACATAGTAGTTTTGGAAAAAGTGTCTTAGTTCACGATAGTTTTGTTTTTCCCATTAACTAGTTGTCTAATCTTTCCAATTCACTCAACGTCTCTGCACCTATTGCCTTAGTTTTGCAATGGGAGACTACCACCTGCTTGGCAAACGTCAAAGCTACTGGGAGAACGGGTGAAATGAGATATGAGGAAGCTTTGAAAAATGTCACAGCACTGTGCAAATTGAACCTCAATTTGCAAAACGGAGAGAGCGCCTGCTAAAAAGCAGAGCTTCCCTGTGTGGACGGCCCACCCCTGCGCTCTTCCAGACCCTTGACCTTCATTCTCACACTTAGTTCCCACAATGATCACAAGGTAAATGGGATTATCCTGCTTTTATAGGTGAAGAAATAGGGCTCAGAAGGGGTAACTTAGCCAAGCCACATAGTTAGAAGGTAGAGGAGCCCAGAGCTATGGGCGTCCTGGCGCTTTTATGCCACATCAACCCGTAACGACAGCACAAGTGAAGGTATTCTGAATTGAGTTGCTGCTCAACAAGTCCTCAGATGTAATCTCCTCGGAAGCCCCTGGTTACACTGATCATAGGCTGCCACGCTTAGCGTTATCTTACTTTCGTATGTCTATCAACTGTAAGTTCATTGGGGTCTGGGTTCTCTAATGTAGAGCCTTGAATCTAGCACATGCTCCAAATAAAGCTTTGTAAAGTGGAGTTAAACATTTGGAAGGGAAATGTGTCCAATACACAAATGTACCTGTGTGTCAAAAAGCAGTGCTGCACCTTCATTTATTAGAAGATCCAAAGACGCAAAAGGTTTCTTATAAAGTCCTGTGGTGCAGGCTACCAATTTATTAGCCTCTTTACTATTTCCTCCACCTGAAGAAGGACAACAGCTTCCTCTCAGGATGCCACAGGCAGCAGAATAGGAGGAGCCCAAGTCAAGAAAGAAATAGAGGCTGGGTATGGAGGCTCACGCTGGTAATCCCAGCACTTTAGGAGGTCAAGGTGGAAGGATCACTTGAGCCCAGGAGTTTGAGACCAGCTTGGGCAACATGGGGAAACCCCACATCTACAAAAAAATATAAAAATTAGCTGGATGCGGTAGTGTATGCCTGAATTCCCAGCTGCTTGGGAGGCTGAAATGGGAGGATCACCAGAGCCTGGGGAGGTTGAGGCTGCAGTGAGCCGTGATCAAGCCACTGCACTCCAGCCTGGGCAACAGAGTGAGACCCTGTCTCAAGGGGGGGAAAAAAAAAAAAGGAAGGGGGCATTCAAATTCTCTGTTCTATCTCCTGGTAGAGATCTTACACATAGTAGGGAGCTAATGACAGCAACTTTTGATTCCCATGAGTAAAGAAACTGTAGCCTAAGAACTAATGTAGCTGTCAGCAAAGGGCTTGGGGAACAGATACTCTCAAATCCTTCTTGTGGGAATATAAATTGGCAATTTATATGAAAAACCTAAAAGATGTACATGCCCTTTGGCCCACTGCTCCCATTTTTAGAAATTTATCCTAATGAAATAATAAGAATTTCTTCTAAGTCTTGCCTATGCGGATATTCGCCTAGAAAAAATTGGAACTCATGTAAGGGTCCAACAATGGGAATATTAAATAATGCATGTATGTCCATCAGATAAAATCTGATGTAATCATTTAAAATAATGACATGTGGGCCTGGTGTAGTAATCCTAGCACTTTGGGAGGCCAAGGTGGGCAGATCGCTTGAGGTCAGGAGTTTGAGACCAGTCTGGCCAACATGGTGAAACCCTATCTCTACCAAAAATACAAAAATTAGCCAGGCGTGGTGGCAGACGCCTGTAATCCCAGCTATTTGGGAGGCTGAGGCAAGAGAATCGCATGAACCAGGGAGGCAGAGGTTGCAGTGAGATGAGATCGTGCCACTGTACTCCAGCCTAGGCAACAGAGTAAAACTCCGTCTCAAAAAATAAAACAAAACAAAATAAAATAAAGACATGTTGAAGAAATATTTAGCGGTCTGGGAAATGCCCAGGATATAGTACATGAAAATGCAGGTTATAAAATGAGATTATGTTTTGTTCCTCTGTTTCACTGAGTTTTACTCAATAAACATGTATTTTGTCTGAAACAGGAAAAAACCCGACCTTCTAAATGTCATTTTTAAAAAGCAGAAACAAGAAGCTAGCAGGAGGGTTAAACCTGCTCCTTCCCGAAGGGTCACACAGGAGGAAGACGCCAGACAGAGCTACAGATCAGGGGCCACCACAGGGTGGCAAATCTCTTCCTGGAGCCCCACGGCTCAGCTCAGAGAGTTACGGGGGTCCTGCCAGTTCCTGTCCCTCGGTAAAGCAAGGCAGTCAGAAAGTCATTGTATTCCTGTCATTTTCCTTGAGCGTTTACTGGAATCAGAAGCCATGACTATGCTCTAACCTCCAGCCCTCTGCGGAGAAGGCAGGCACAGCACACGGTCTCTGGACATGAGTCTCCATGAGAAATCGGGGAGGCAAGGACCCAGGGTCTCAGAAGACTAGAGGACAAAGAGGGTTCTGGGTGGCCTTGGGTAGGGGCCGGGGTGGGAGCCGAGGAAAGGACTTACGAGCCAGCGATGAGAGAGTAGAGCCCCGGGCACAGGGAGGCAGACAGCAGGGCCTGCTGTGGCCCAGCGGCCAGGGCATTCCACCCCTGGGCTGCCCCCAGGCAAGGAGGTGGAAGGTTTGAAAGGTCTGAAATGTTTTAACCAAGGGAGTGACTTGGTCAGTGCTGGGTCCTACACAGATTCCTCTGGTGGTTGTATGGACAACCTCAAGGGACTGGTCTCCAGATGTGCGTG